TGCTTCTATATAACGAACTAAAATACAAGTCACATTATTGGTTCTATAGAAGCGAAATATATCTTTCTATCAATTCGCTTAGCTCCATCCGCTCATTATCCAAACTCAGCTAAAGAACAGTTCATTGCCAAGCAGTAATACCATCATCATGGTCATCAAAAACATAATCAATAACGCTTCCTAAATGCAATAAAACCTAAAACAATCATAAAAACCCCAACCTCAGAATCCAAGGGAAAAATTAAAAGAAAAGAAAACCAATGATAGTCCATAAAAGAATATAAATAAATTTATAGTTCAGCAAAATAAAAAGATAACAATAAGCACACCAAACAATTATTTGAGAACCATGAAAACAGCAATGAAAAAATAAATAAATACCCACTTGAAAAAAGAGACTTACGCAAACCACATCGAGAGGGAAAAAATGAAGAAAGAAAAACCACACAGATGACCGAAACCCAAAACCCAAAAGAAGAGAGGCATTTTAATTGCATTTTACCTTCTAAAAAAATCAAAATTAAAAACCCAAAAAGAAGAGGAGACGAGGTTACTTTTGGCAATTTCCATTCCTTAATGGCCTCACCTCAGAGCCCACATCGTCATCCATAAGAAATTCACACCCAAACATCTCCGGTGAAACCTGCATCAATAGCAAAAAAAAAAAAAACAAAAAAAAAACAAAACAAAAAATTAGAGAAGCAAAATTGCGAAAGTATGATTTTCCATATTCAAATTGCTAATATTCTTTTATTACCTTATCCATTAGAAGTACAGGTATCCTAAACAGAGTATCAATAATGTAGCACAATACTAATTGACATCTTTGCGCCTAACCCCTACAGGGCCCTTCTAAAGTATTGTAAAATTGCATGTCTTCTATAATTTGAAACAAGTGAAAGTGTAAATAGCAACACTACATTTCCACCATTCCCTCATAAAAAACCTTCAACTCCATATACAAATTAGAATTGTCTTTCATTTCAGGCTAAAAAAATTCATAAAAGAAAGGCAAACCTTGCTTTGCGAACTAATTTTGTTTTCACTAAACAAAGGAGGTGACACCTTTATCACTATCACACCTTTATTTAACAATCAGCATTCAGGTAAATTGACAATAATCAACAGAGATACTTGAGAAAAACAAGAAATAGGAGAGAACATTTATTGAAAAATGCTTGAGCTGTTGAATCCACCATATCACTAACCAAAAGAGAAGGTAAATAGAAAACTCATGAAAATAATGAATTCTTAAACCGTGCCTATAATAGAATCTAATGTTTCTATTTTTCAACCTAAACATATTTTATTATTTTTGTTCTATTCAGGAAATTTTTTAGTGTTACCATAAGCTCAAAGGAATTCTAAGAAACATTTAAAATGCATGAAAAATACATTTGACTTCCTTATGAGACTTTCCCTAAGATTAAAAAAATAAATAAAAGAACCTTATTAAAAGAAAAAATTGAAGTAGACTTCATAAATAGTCAAGTCTGCAAACACCCATTCAAACTAAAACCAAAGTATAGAAATTTATGGTCAAGTTTTGTTACATCCGTTGTCATGGAATCAAGATTTTTAGTAAAGAATTTATGCCCAGAAAAAAAAATCAAACGGAAACACCAACTCATCAATAACCTTTCAACTAAACAGAAAAATAGACATTAATAACTTTGAAATGGTAAAAACCCATGTGAAGAAAAAAGAAAATAAAGAAATGAGGTGTACCCAATTGAAGGAGGAGAAGCAACCTGCATAAAAGGGGAAAATAACACCTCTGATCAAAAACCCAGAAAAGAGAGGGAGTTTTTTTTTCCCTATTTCGGCAAAGATCTAACCTTCACATAACGATTTCTAGACAGCCTCGTCTTAGAAGCGAAAATTAATAGGTTCCTTTTTCATCAAAGTATAGAGAGAGGTGGAAGAGCAACAAGCAAACATAGAAGAAGAAAGAAAAGGCAAGAGAGAGAATAACAAAAAAGAAGAGGGGGAATAGATAATAGTAAGAATGTGAGAGCAGCTAAGTAAACACGCTCTGGATTCTAATATCCCAATATAGTTACTAGTTGAGAGATGTGCATGTTCTGCTTCTAAATTTATTGCAGATTTTTGTATCAAATTCATAGAAAGATATCTTTGTTTTAGTTTTCTTTAGAATATAGTGAAGTCTTTTTTCTTTAAAAACAACTCATTCAAAAGGCATAAAGGTCACTAAACAACATCAGAATTAAAGCCAGGTAACAGCACATCAAAACACACCCACAGAAAAAAAAAAAAAAAACATGAGCCTAATTAACTATCATCGCTAGAAAAAAGAAACAAGAAAGTAGCACAGGGGAATAGAAGGATACACCACTTTGCAACGTTAAACAGATAATTGCAGCTACTAGGAATACAGTGGGCCTCTCAACCATGAAAGCTTAAGGATATCAGCCCATCAAATCATCATCATAACCAGCAACAAATTCTTTGAACACCAGCACTGTGTCGCCTTCAAAACAGCGAAACAAACCAAGACCACAGTGGTGAATCTCTATTAATCCTCATCCGTGATGTTTTCTAACTGTGACCATCCTATTATTTTCTTCCCTGAACGTCTGAGTTACGCACTTGTGTTGTGCATAGAGAATAAACTTCCATGCTGATTAACTAATTCTTTAATTGTCCAAACAAAGTTAAAAGGTAATTGATCATTACCGGGTAGAGAGATTCAGCGGCAATCGACTCAGCTCCAAACCTTAAATTTTCTTTCAACTTCTCTTCAAAATTTTGAGCAGAAACTAAACACAAAGCTGCAGCAAAATTAAAACAAATTGCGCATTAAATAAGAGGAACATGCTGAAAAAAGAGAGAGAAGGATATGGAGGAGAAACTTTGCAGATGAAACATAGCGCCAGTTGGGAATTTTAGATATTCTGTGAGTGGGCGTGTGCGTATATATTTCTGCAAAACAAGACAAAAGTAAGGAAAACAACAGTTAGCCGGAAATGGGTGGGGAGGGCGGGGGCAGGGCCGGAGGTGTCCTATAATTAAATTTGCAAATATTGTTGCAGACAAAATAAAAAAAAAAAACTCAACTAAACTTTCTCTAATTATCCACACGAGGGGCGTCACCTAAATTAAGCTGCAGTTGAATAAAAGATCATGCAAAATATATGTCAAGCATATTAATTTTTAATAAGAAACGAAAAGTTTTATTGAAATAATGGAATAAAACAATCAAAACGAGTACAAAAAAGGGGACAAGACGTCCACCAACAGCCAGAGAAAACCAGAAGAAAGAGTTAAATGAGAAAACCAGAAGAAAAAATAATAATATAACTGGAGATTTAAACCATATTTTTGAAAAAGAAGTCACGCACATGCATATCAAAACAAAACAATATAAGAATTTTGAAATTCAAATCAATTTTTTGGAAAACAAATCAAAAGGATTAGGGAA